ATATATATATATATATGGAAGAGTTTGATTTATGATTCCAGAGGGATGAGAGTCCATCACAGTGGGACGCATGGTGGTACAGGTGGCCAGAGCAGAAAGCTGAGGGTACCCATCTTCAAGCATGCATGGGAAACAGAGAGGGCAAGCTGGACAGGGGACAAGGCTAAGAACCCAGTAATGGACTTCCTCTAGCAAGGATGCACCTCCTAAATCTCCCCACGAGCACCACCAACTGGGGACAAGTATTTAAACACTTGGAGCCGATGGGGACATTTCTCATTCAATCCACCATATCAAGTGTGACCCAAAGTCCTTTCTTGTTATATCCTGCAACTGACCTCAGCAGGTCTGTGTCTGACCAGCCTCACACTGATCCCTGCCACCTAGCCTTACCCTGATTCCTGTCCCCAAGTCTCCCCATGATCCTGCTGCCTAGAGACTCCTCTGCCTCCCAGTCTTGCTTTGACCCCTCCTGCCCATCGCTGACCCTTTGGGAATGCATCTTCTCTGAACACAGTCCTGCTTCTGGGCATCTCCTAACCACCCTGTCCTCCTAGTACCTACAAGATACACGTAACAAGCTTGGCTGCCATGTCTAATTGGCAGGCAGGACGCAGAGGCCTGCACTTCATTCTGTTGTCATAAGTGCCAGCACCATGAAAATCAAAGGGATTAAAAACTGAACTGGGACTGAGGGTGGCTGTGTCACCCAGAAGTTCAAAGGAACAGAAACATCCAAACAATAAGGCAGCTGGATTTGCATAAACTAGTTGCAGATGCAGCCCATGAACCCCACATGATCTTTTAGAGGGTTCACTGAGGAGAGTGGGAGGGGTGGAGGGCACGGGGAGATGTCATTGTGGTGATTTTTCTGGCAGACTGTCTGAAAAGTCCATTTCATACCTCAGAGTCCATGGGCTAACCCACTTTCAGGTTGAACATCTTGCTCCTTCATCTTCCCTCCCCAGCATCCTCCTTTCCCAAGACAAAAAACATTTGCCCAAGGTCACACAGTAACTATGCTCAGTGGCCTTCACAGTGCACCAATTAATTTTGCCCCTATCAGATTTGGTGACAAAGTGTGCCCTACCAAACTGTCAGACTGGTCAAAGACAAGCCTTTCTGAATACCTGTGTGGCCCTCAAGAAACAGTAGGAGCACATAACTGAGCTCTAACCTCACTGCCAGCACATGCGCACATGCACCCACAGATGGTCATCACCACTTCCCATAGCAAGTCCGGGGCAGGCAGTTCCCATGCACCGTGGGCGTCACACTTCTGCTCAATAGTGGAGAGAATGCACAAGCTGAAACCCTGCCCTATCCAGTCTGTATAAACTCCATCTACGAGAGAAAAGGGAGGTGACTGGGGATTTTCTATTTTTCTAAGACCTGCTCTTGGGTCCCCACCATGGCTATCAGTGTACGACATACTGTCAGACTCATTGCACAAGCCGGCACGATCACATGTGGGCCCCATTCTGCTCTTCTCCCCAGAGCTCAGCTCTTTAAAGCCCCTCCCAGCAAGCTCTGGAGCCTCTTTCCTCACCCCATTGGCCAGCTTGTGCCTCACTTTAGCCAGTAGGACAAGATGAAGATGGCAAAGAAACAGCTCAGGACCTGGGTCCCCAGAGAACATGTGTTCTCCAATTCAGTCTCTTTAAATCCTACTGTTGCCTTGGGAACAAACCTTGGCTAACTTGCTGAAGGCGAGAGGACACCTTGTGACAGCCAAGTAGCCATTCACCTACTGAATAGCACATCTATGACGGTTAGCTTTTTGAAAATAATTTATTGAGAATTTCATACATGCATGTAAGGTGTTTTGATGAACTCCACCCCCACTCCCTCCCCTCCAACTCCTCCCATATCTCCTCATCACTTTTTTCTGACAACTTCATGTACTCTTTCTTTTTTTGGGGGGGTGCTTTTTGCTACTCTAACATTCCCCCCTCTGAAGAGGAAACCCTAAAATCTTTTAGGGGCTGGATAAGAGCTCCCAAATACTTCTGACATTTTTGGCCTTTGGAACAGAGTATGTTGCTAAGAGGCCCAAGGACGTATTGACTTTAGCTAAGAAACTGGCTATTTTTCTTTGGGGTCTTTTTGCCCTAACTGCCTAGCCAATTCCTACCTCCTATTCTCATCACAGCATCCTCTGAAGAGGGTACCCAAATTACCAATAGGGAATCAGGACACAGATTGCTCTGGCTTCTTCCATGCTGAACAGGGACGCAGGGTGAGGCAATCGGGATACCCCTTCAGTGGGTCTATCTAAAAGACTCCCAAATTGCATAACTCTTATCTGTAGGGAGAAAATAAAGTCCTTGACTGGTGCCTAGGAAATGTGAAGGAGAAGTAAAGGCAAGAGTAGTTAGCATTACAAGTTCTAGACAGGGAACCAGAAAAAAGTCACAACAGCGTGAGCCTCAGAGTTTTTATGTTCTTTTCCTCTAGGGAATGCATGCCCTGTGTTTAAGATTGTGTCATATGGAAGAATGTGGCAGGAGGGGCATTCGTGCCATATTAGGGAAGGTGGCCAGAGGGTAGCAATCACATGACACGCTGGTCTCTGGTCGCTTAAATATTCAGGATCTAATATATCTCACTCATTCCTGACTATAACAGGATATAAATGGGAGTGGGACGTCATCACCATATTTGGCTGCTTCCTGCTACCCAAGGGACAAGAGACTAATCAGTCATGTATATTCGTTAGGAGGAGGGTGCTCTTTCATGATTAGGAATGGTGGTTTGAGAAATTACTTGATTAAATCAAGAATCTCTGGACTAGATACCAAGGATCTCCCCATCCAGGTTCTAGGCACCCCAAATCTATGCCTATAAGTAGTTGGACCTTATCCATTTGGAGTTTGTAGGACTCAAAGGAAGTGGCCAGGAAAGCCATGATTAGAAGAATCAGAGAGGAAGAGGTATCCATGTCCAACCTTTGGCAGGCTCATGAGGAAGAGCTTCAGTTGGGTCGGGAGAGTTGGAGGAGGACACAGGGGTTGTTGCTGAAAGCAGAAGTAGGCATTATGCCACAAAGTGGAGGTGAAACAAGAAGGGAAAGTTCTCAGCTGAAGGCTAAGGCCATACTAGCGGAGTTGGGGAAGATGAGGCCAGGGATCAGGGTGTGCCTGACAGGGCGGGTTGGGGGTCATGAGGTGAACCAGGTGGCATCTCCTCCCTGGGTCTATGAGAAAGTGTTTTTAATGATAGGTACAGGGATTTGAATAGTGAGTAAGCAATGGGACTGTGTTGCCAGGGATGGCTGCCAGGGAAGGAAAAGGTAGAGATGCAGAGAGGTATCGATCCCTATGAGGAGCCATGGGCTAAAGGGCCCATGATGGAGGTTCTAGGGGGGAGAAATGAGGAGAGAGTCATCATGGGCCTGTAGCTCCTCCAATGTCTTTACGGATGGGTCTGGAGCATTGGATTGGGACCCTCTCCCATAAAATACGGGTCTTATTTTTATAGATGGCATGCATAGGTGGCCTTGGTTTGTGCTCAAGCTTACAGGGGCAGGAACAGAGAGCCAGTCTGTGGTTGCTGGTTCAGAACAGAGGCAGGGGGAGGTTCAATTGGGCTAGCAGTAAAAGGAAGGGAAGCTGAGATGTTAATGAGATGGAACATAGGGTGGTGGTTCTGGGAGCCCTCCAGGAGAGGGATGAGAAGTCAGAGTAAAGAGAGTCTGGGAGATCATTGTCACCAAGGTTTAGGTACGTGTTCTAGAGCACAAGATGAGGCAGAAGGAGAAGAAGAAAATCTGCGTAGGGGTAAAGTTTTAGAAGATTCTCTGGAGCCAAAGTTCTTCCATAAAAGATCATCAATGGAAAGGAGGGACCTCAGGAAGGGTTACCAGGTCATGTTGTCTGCAAGTGCTGTGAGGAAAAGCTTAAAGAACTCTAAGGAGAGGAATAATAAAGACGGTGTCCTTAAGATCTGTGAAGAGGGGCTGGAGAGATGGCTCAGCAGTTAAGAGCATTGGTTGCTCTTGCGGAGGACCCAGATTTGATTCCTAGCATCCCCATAGTGACTAACAACTGCCTGTAACTCCAGTTCCAAGGGAATGTGACACCCTCTTCTGACCTCTACAGCCATTGCACAACACTAGTGCACTTACCATACACGCAGGCAAAACACTCATATGCATGAAATAAAAAATATTAATAAAATATTTTTAAAGATCTGTGAAGAATGTGGTGTTAGGTGAATGGAAGATAAGAGTGTGTAAACATTAGGGACAACAGGATAAATGAGTTTAATGGCTACGTTAATTTTTCTCAGGTTTTCGATCAAACAGAAGTAGCCATTGATTTCTTTACAGGAAGAATGGGAATATCATGAGGCGAGTGGGTTGGGACAAGTAGACAGAATCAGAGTAGTTGGTGCATGATGGGTTTGAGGCCATAAAGTCCTGTAGGGTTGAGAGGGTATTAGGGGACTACAGTGACATCAAGGGGGTCCTTAAGGGATATGAGGAGCAGAGACTGGTGGGTTGCAATGATAGGGTGGTCTGTATCTCATATCATACTAGGGAGTTGATGTCAGGGCAATTGGGCAGGTTGGGGAGCCCAGGGAGGGAGGTTTGGGGCAGGAAGCTCTTAGAGTTGAAATATAGTCCTGATAGTGGGAACTTCTACTCTCATCCTTGCACAGAGGGGGAACATGGGAACCAAGGATTTAGGAGGTAGCATACTGTGAGAGCAGGTGGGGGTGGGGAGAAGAGAGTGAGGCTGAGGCAGGGA